GTTTGGCTGTAGACAATGGATTGTATGGTTAGATGGCATGATCACTCTAAAGATTTCTTTTGAGCCAGATAATTCCTGGTACTCGAAGCAGTAAAATTGTTGGTTTGCTGTCCAAGCCCCTTCATCATGGAAATCATGTGCCTACTAGCTTGGTAATATTGTCACTTCTACAGTTGCCACTGGTGAACCTCTTAATTGCTTCCAAATGCTCGCTGCTTGATTTCTGCTAAAATCCCTGGGTCCTCTGACATCAACAAAATGCAAAGCTTGCTGTTCTAGACAAGTCGTTTCATTATGGCTGAACTTGTCCCTAGTAATTTTTTTTTTATGACACCCCCCCCCCTTCTGCCTTATTATCTTGGATCATAAGAAAAACATTTCCCAAGCCAGACAAAAAGCAAGAATGTTTTTCACATTTCTTGTACGCTTTTATGGCTGCTGTAAAGTACTATTGAGATTGATCTTAGGTATAAAGTGTAAACTATGAGTTTTATCGTCATATTCCATAAAGATTTTAGGAAGGGCATAGCCTCTGCTTACGGATTCTGTAGCTGAAATTTCTTTCCATAGTAATCTCTTAAAGTGCCAGAGTTGCAACTAAGACACTGGCTGTAGTCTTTATTAGAGAGCAGAGATGTTTCTCTTCAGAGCCAACAATTCTTCTTCAAAGCAAGCTGAGAGATACACTGGCAAAGCAGGAATCAAAGATATATCTTGCGTTGTCAGTTTAAACTTATAGTTTAAAGTACTAAAAACAGGCAATAATTCAACACTGGTTGAACAAAACCCATAGGCCTGTGAGAGTGGTGTTAGGCTCACTGCTCTAATCCTCTGATTTTCTTGCTGCCATTTGTAACTTAGAGTACGATTCGAGAACTTTTAAAGTTTAGCCATTTAGAATTATCCAATGGGTTAAATAAGACATCAGACGCTTACACTTGTCTGTTTTTTAAAAAGCTGTTGATTAGACCAAGGTGTCCTGTGGATACTCTGGTTGGAACAAGGAAAGGACCTGGGCGGCTGACACGATTGCTCCCAGGTTGCCCTCTCTCAGCTGTTAGAGCCCAGGTAGGTCAGAGAAGAAAGCAAACAAAATGAACAGATAGTAAGATAAATATTAAAAGGTAATGCATCAATGTTAATCGAGTAGAAAACAGTAAAATACAGGAATTAAAATAGTAGCTATTGTACATGGCAGCTATGAACTTACCCTTACGTTGAAAAATGATGAAACAGAATAAGGTCAAACATAAGGTTCATATTCGGATATCTGAAATAAACTCAATAATCAACTGACCATATTTGTATTGGCCTGTACAGCCTTCTTTAGTGGTCACTGATAAATTTATTTATTATTTATTATTTAGATTTCTATCCCGCCCTCCCCGAAGGTTCATACACAGTCTGTTTATTACATAAGATAGAATAAACAGGCACAGAAGAAATTTTTAAAAATACTGTAAGCAGTCATGGAATGGGTTAATATAAAATCCAGTCTTCTACATATTGTGAATAACCGTTCCAACAGGTATGATTATGTTGTAAAAAGAAGGAATGCTGTTATATCTAGTATCCTGTGTACCTTTCTAGGCCTGCTCTGGGTAAACCATTTCCACACTGTGTGTATAGTAACAATGACAATGGTCAAACACCTATATGAACTGAACACTCAGATCATCTTCCAAGGCCCTGCTTCAGTTGCCCCTGCCTTTCGAGATTAGGTGGCTGGCAACACGAGAGAAGGCAATACGAGATGAGGCCTTCTTGGCCATGTTACCAAAACTGTGGTACTCTCTCCTCTGGGATACTCATCTGTCCCTTTCTGTCTTCTGCTGGCAGGTGAAGACTCAGGACAAGTGATTGGATTTCCCTTTAACAGGGTACAGTTACATCCTTTCTCTCAGACACTGGCTTTTTAATTTAGACTTGGAACATTTTAGAGTAAAATCTCTCTTCTGTGCGTGCGTGTACAATTTCTAGTAACAACTGGTCTTGACCTTTTGGAACAACTCTTGGTAAAAGTCAACTGTAGTGCACCACCCCCCTCCCGGTCCATTTTTATATAGAAATTATAAAAGGTAAGATCTGAATTTTGGGGGTGATGATAAATTCAGGCACCACAGTTTAACTACAGTTAAGGGAAATGTGTACAAACCCAGCTTGTTGCTGAGATCGCATGTCTGTCTTCTTCCCCTTCCTGCGTATACAAGAATTTTGGTTACAGATGATGACATGTGATACACTGACATGTGACGGAACTGGAGTTAGTGTCACACACACACACACACACACACACACACACACGCAGTGTCACACACACACACACACACACACACACACACACGCACACCGGATTCTAAACTTGGATTAAACTCTAGTTTAGATTCCCAGTTATTGGATCGGGGCAACAGGGAGTGGGTCAGCTAACTCCAGTTAACCTTCACACCCACATCCGTATGTTACAGGTTACCAGAGTTGGTTTCATTTATTCATCATCTTTGTAGTCCACCTTTCTCACCAAGACTCAAGGCAGAGTATAGAATGTACGTCAGTGCAATCAATAGGATTAGGAGACATCTAATAAACAATGTGATAGGAGTAGGTTTGCAGAAATCTGAAACAAGGCATTTCAAGGTGTAAGTATTAAACTTGCCGTGTTAATGCAAGAAATAAGTGCCTAAGTAGAAATACAATGCAGAGAGAGAGAGAGAGAGATAAAACATACAGCAACAGATAGTATTAGTCATATAAGACACAGTCCCATTCCCTTTACTGAAGTGTCTTCCTGAATTATTCTGTTATAATGCAGCCCTATTTTCTTTTTAAAAATGCCCTCCAGAACAGTTCTGTTTTACATAGTTTGTGGAAAGCCAAAAGTATGGGAGTCTTCCTGACCTCCATAGACAGGCTGTGTCATAGGGTGGGGAGCTACTACAGAGGATGCACGTGTACAAGCAGCTGTTGATCTTACCCATTTGCAGGGTGGCACCTGTAGAGGGCCCTGGTTGGATGAGCAAAGTTGTCTTGGTGGGGCATACTAGGAAAGGCAGTCCTGTAGATATAAGGGTCCAAGGCCATGTAGGGTTTTGTATGCGATAGCAAGTACCTTAAATCATGATGAACCCTGTAAGTAATGGGCAGCCAATGGAGTGGCTACAGAATGTGTATAATATTTATTTTGTTTTATGTTACTTATAGTCTGCCTTTCTCTGAGGGACTCAATGTGGATTACGCATAGTGAGTCAGTACAGTCAACAAAATGGGACGTTCAGTAGCCAAAGCATTTGATTTTAGAAGTCTGGAATCACCAGAAAGAACTGAAGCACAGTATAAGTATCCAGAAATTACATCAGTAAGAGCCTACTTACAATAAGCTATGCACAGCAGGATAGACCACAGGCCCTAATCATTTATCCAAGCAAATTTGTAATACTGTTTGTACAGTGCAGCTCTGTTACCTGCATGGAAAAGCCTTCTTAAATAGTTCAGTTTTGCACAGTTTGCAGAAAGCCAGGAGAGTGGGAGCTTTCCTGACCTCCTCCTGCAGGCCATTCCACAAGACGGGAGCCAAAACAGAGGAAGCACACACATGGGCAGTTGCCGATTTTGCCCATTTGTAGGTTGGCACCTGCAGAAGCCACTGTTGTGGCAGAGCATAGGGAGGAAGGCAGTCCTGCAGATAAGAGCGACCAGGGCCATAAAAGGCACTGTATGTGATAGCCAGTACCTTAAACTGAGCCTGGTAACAGGTGGGCAGCCAATGGAGCATCTGCAGAATGGGAGTTATATGCATGCTCTGTCCAGCTCCTGTTAATAGCTGAGCCGTGGAATTCTGGACCGGCTGGAGTTTCCAAGTGGATTTTGAGGGGAAGACCCTTTTTGCAGCTGCATTAACTTGCTTCTCCAGTAATAAAGCTGGATCCAATATGACTCCAGGGCTTTTAACTGAGTCAGCAAGGGTCAGTGGAACTCCATCAAAAGTGAGGAGAAAAGTGTCCTTCAGGATCTTTTCCTTCCCAACCAGCATTACCTCTGTCTTTTCAGGGTTTAGTTTCAATTTGTCACTTTTAGCCAGCTAAGCACCATGGCTAGACCTCTACTACGTCACCAGGAGATTTGGGTAAGGATATACGCAACTGAGTATTATCAGCATATTGATGACAACCAATCTCAAAGCTACGAATGATTTGTCCTAAGGGCTTTCTAAAAGTCACATATGAAGTGTAAAAGGTACACCTAGAATGCCTTGTTCTGTGTAGAGTGCAGTCTGCTTCCATCACCTTTGGTAAGGTTTATGTTACGTTGCAAGACCAGAGTCTTTGGGGAGCACTGTATTCTGTTTGATTAATTTATCCAGTTGCTCAGCCTCAGCCTCTTAATTCACATTAGATTGCAGCTAGAGCGCTGCAAGTTTTGATAGAAGAATTGGAGTGATTAATCAACTAATGCTTTAATTGTAGATTAAAATGTCCTGTAGATTAAATTCCGCAGATAAAAATGAGCCCCATGGGCTCCAGATTGCTTAAGGCAATTTTATCAAATGGTTTATGGTCTCTGAAGGGTTCACAGTTTATGTACTAAGCACAGATGGCTTCAGGAAACATTGCAGAGCAAGTAAAGTGACAGTTACTTCCTTATCACTGACATATTTTGTTCAACTTTATTGATCTAAAAGAATGTTCTTTAATTGATGGACTTTATTGTATCATATTGTTTTTTTAAGTCCCCCCCATTATATTTTTAAAATCTTGGCACCTGGTATTTTTGGCCACTGTGTGACAGAGTGTTGGACTAGATGGGCCATTGGCCTGATCCAACATTGGCTTCTCTTATGTTCTTATGTTTTTCTGCGGTATTCTCTTCACACACACCCCAACATACTTGAAAAGGCATGTCTAGCTTTTCATCTATTCCTAAGAGAAAGGAGGGGGCTTAATTTTCACATGCTGAACAAATCCTGGTTTGTCCATTATGTAAATGACTTTTAAAATTCCTTCCAGTGTCGTCCCTCTTTTAAGAGAATCCATTGGAATTTTGATGCAGCGAACACCTCCTTCCTTGGAAAGTGCTCTGCCTCAGTGCTATCAAAGGGTAAGTTGTAACATTTCCAGCTATTTCTGCTTGGAATATACACCTAGCTAACACAGCACCCCAATCTGGGCCCCTTAACTTGTCCTATCTGTACAGATTTTCTTAACAAACAATCAGCACTGTTTCTTATCATGTACCTTTTCATCTTGGACAGCCCTTGGTTTAGAAACTCCTTACAGTTCCCTAAAGTGCCTCTTCAGAAACTTTCTGATTTGAAGCCTTAAATATCCTGCCTCCTGCACACCAAAGGAAGGGTATTCTGCAGAATTCACATGTTCTCAGTTGTCGAGCTGCACACAATAAGGTCAAAGAAATTTAGATCTTTTCTCCTTTTATACTGGCAATAATAGTTCTGATAAAATTGCCACTGAGGCATAGTATTTAAAAATAATGGGTTGTATTCAGTGATCTGCTCACATAAAGAGCCTTAGCAATCCTTTCCAGATTCTGGAAAGTTGATTCCTGGAATCGTGGTACCCATGTGGGATGGCTGCCACATGGCCTGGTGGACTGTAGTGAGAAGGGGTGGTCCTTTTTCATCAGCCCAGTTCTGCTGATGGAAGAGGCAGGAGGGCTGGTTTCACCCGTCCCCCTCCTCATTGTAGTCCTCCAGCCCGTGTGGGTACTGTGATGCCAGGGATTAACTTTCTCAGGGTTGGAAGGAATTTATCTTCTCCTAATGGGTTGTTAGATCCAAACCTGAAGTACTACAAGCATACATACAGAATGAAGGTCAATATCAATGAAGGAAGAAGAGAATAAGAGATTGGATTTATACCCCACCCCTTCACTACCCGAAAGAGTCTCAGAGGAGTTTACAAACTTCTTTCCCTTCCCTTCCTTACAACAGACACCCTGGGGAATTTCAGACAGCCGATATATTCCGGTTCAGGAACTGTTCCCTAACGGTTTCTGCTCTGACATTTCAGACAGAACCGTTTTAGTAATGGTTCCCTACTGGAATATATTTTCACTTTCAGACAGAAACGCTTCTGTCCCGTTCAGGAAACGTGGCTGAACCAAGCAGTCTCCACTTTTCTGTACTGTTTCTGAAGTGCTATAGGGTGCTGTGTAAAATGCCCCGTAGCGCTTCCTCCTGCGCTGCTTTGTTTTCCTGCCCTTTTTCGCCCACACGGGCGATCTCCATCCTTTTTTTTTTTGAACATTCATTTTAGAGTGCTGTGGCGCTATAGCACTATAATGCTATCACACACCACCAAAACAGCAACCCCATTGGAATGCCTGGACTCCACTGGGATACATGAGATGGCTACATCTGCCACCTGGAAACAAGTACCTCATTGGACTGCAGGCTTTGGCAGGAAAGCAGGGCATCAGTGATTGGTGTGACAGTGATTGGCGAAAAAGGGCGGGAAAACAAAGGGGCGCAGTCTGAAATGCCAAACCGCTTCAGAGACGGCTCCTTACCGGTAGGGGAAAGGCTATGTGAAATGGCAGCCCTGTACCAGTTTACTCCAAGATGGTACAATAACAGCTTAAAAACGGCTTTAAAAGGGTAATGTGAAATTCCCCCCTGTGAGGTAAGTGGGGCAGAGAGAGCTCTCCTGAGAACTGTTCTTAAGAGAACAGCTCTGACAGAACTATGGCTTGCCCAATGTCATCCAGCAGGCTGCATGTGGAGGAGTGGGGAATCAAACCCAGATCTCCCGGATTAGAGTCCGCGCTCCTAGCCACTACACCAGACTGGCTCTCTACAGACTAAATGTCCAGTTTTAGAAGAGAATGGTGCTTTTTCTAGAAAACTTGGAATTGTTTACTAGCTGTAGTCTTGACACCAAAATAATTCATTTAAGCATTTTAAAATACACAGTAAAGCTCTTTTTCTTGTTAAATACGGTGCTGTTGAGCCTTGGGTTTAGCAAAAGAAGTATATATATGTAGTATATCCATGTGATTCTTTGCGTACCACTATTTAAATATCATAAATTAACAGCTGAGTCAGGTGGGTTGGTGGAAGTCCTGAACAGGTGCCTGGAAAAGGTAATGGGATGGCTGAAGGCCAGTAATTTAAAGCTTGTCCAGGCAAAGCGGGGGTGCTGTTGGTCAATGAAAACGCTTCTTGAGGAGTTGGCCTGTCCTTGAACTGGTTGCACTCCCCCAAAGGAGCAGGTTCATGGCCCCAGTGATATGTGAGCTTATTGCATCTAGATCAGATTAGGCTGTTTGTGGGGGTGCCTTTGAAAACTGTCCAGCTGCTCCCAGATGTGCAGCCAGGGTACATATCAGGGACAGGATACAAGGACAGGTTATGGGGATGGCGTCACCCCTGTACTGAAAGAACTGCACAGCCTGTCATCTGTTTCTGGGCACAATTCAGAGTTCTGGTTCTTCTGGCCCTAAATGGCTTGGGCCAGAGTACTTGAAGGACCATCTGTATAGTTTAGTTCCCCAGTTAAGATTCTCCTTACAAGCCTTGCTGTCTGTGTCTCTTGCCTGTACAAGAAAGGCAAATGGTGACCAGAGGCAGGACTCTTCGGTGGTGGCATCTCACCAGTGAAATTTCCCCCCCTCGAGGCTCACCTCCTTCATACCATACTGTCTTTCAGGTGCCAGGGCAAAACGTTTCTTTTTACTCAGGCTTTTAATTAAGGGGTTTGATCTTTTAAAACTGTTTTTGTAACCTGCTTCTAGTCTCAGAACTGTTACAAGAATCATTTGAGGCTGTTAAATGAGTTATGAGAATCATTTTAGGCTGTTAAATGTGTTATGCTGTTTTTAGGCTCTGGCTGGGTTTTTAAGTTTCTTAATTTTTTATTTTTATGCTATTTTTACTATTTTATCATGTTTTATTTTAAGTCCCCTTGAGCAGATTCCCTGGATAGGAGGCATAGATAAACTTTCTAAATAAATAAATTGCTTTAAA